AGAGAGAGAGAGAGAGAGAGAGAGAGAGAGGTTGAATGGCAAATTGCAGCCGCAATCTATTTCGCTGTTGGAATGATTTTTAAAAATTTATTTAGCATTTTTCTGGAAAGATCACAACAAAATCTATGAGTACTCCAATTTCAGGTTTTTTCACGCATTCTTCTGAGAGTGAAAACTCATTGAATTTTGAGTACTTTTTAAGTTGGCCCACACATGGCTAAGTGGCAAAAATGAAAAATGTGTCGAATCGGCGCGACAATTATTTCTCGGTCTAAATAATTTTTTAAAAATATTCTAATATTGTTTTTAGAAAGAATACGACCTCATATATGAATTGTCAAAATTTCAGATTTTTCTGCGGGTTCCTCCGAGCACAGAAAATCGCCAAAGGTGCCTCTTGCAAAACGCCTGTTTCGTTGCGCCTGACGTCCCTGTTTTGAGAAGACGGGCCTCAACGCCTGGGCCTGAGGGCCCTTACCCCATCGCCACTTCTTTTTGGGGTCCAATTCCACCCGAGGACTTGTCCTTCGTTTTCCCAAAAGTCCCGGTTCTACCAGAGCTAGCTGTAGGTAGTCCGCAATTTTGGCAAGGACCGGCTTCCCATTTTTTTTTGCCTCCTAAGAACCCACTTTGGGTCCTGGTCGCCCGCCACCAAAAATGCGACACCTTGACACAGACGCCGAACCCAATAGACCGCAGTTGGAATGTTTTTTTTTTAATTTATGTAGTGTTTTTCTTGGAAAGATCACAACAAAATCTACGAGTACTCCAATTTTCAGGTTTTTTCACGCATTCTTCTTAGCGAGAAAACTCACTGAATTTGGAGTACTTTTTTAGTTGGCCCAAGCATGGGTGAGTGACAAAAATGAAAAATGTGCTGAATCGGCGCGATGATTATTTCGCAGTCTAAATGATTTTTTGTAAATGTTGTATTATTATTTCTGGAAAGAACACAACCTCATCTATGGGTTCTCAAAATTTCAGATTTTTGTGCATGTTCGTCTTAGCACAGAAAATCGCCAAAGTTGCCTCTTGCAAAACGCCTGTTTCGTTGTGCCTGTCCTCCCTGTTTTGAGAAGACGGGGCTCAACACCTTGGCCTGAGGGCCCTTTTGCAGTTCGCATGCCCTCACTTCTTTTTGGGGTCCGCTTCGACCCGAGGACCGGTCCAACGCCCCCCACTTTTTTTTGGGGTCCACTTCTACCCGAGGACCGGTCCTTCATTTTTCCAAAAGTCCCGGTTCTACCAGAGCTGGCTGTAGGTAGTCCGCAATTTTGGCAAGGACCGGTCCCCCAATTTTTTTTGCCCCCTAAGAACCCACTTTGCGTCCTGGTCGCCCGCCGCCAAAAAAATGCGACACCTTGACACAGACGCCGAAGCCCACTATACCGCAGCCTAAGGGCTGCGAACAAGGGCATCCGCCCTTCTTTTTGCAAGTAACAAGAAGGTTGGTTAAACCAGAGTTCTGGAATGCTCGCGCGGATTGGGGTGGTTGTCTGCGCATAGATTAAAGGTTATCAGAGTTGGAAGGATGCGTGAGCGTGCAGTTTTAAGGCGCGCGTGTGATATTTTTGTCGTTGATTGTGTAGCCGGCCTAGTTTACCGGCCAGAAAGGTTCGTCTTTTGGTCGGCACGTTTGACTGGCAGTAGGTCTGGCACATAGGGCGACACATGGGGCAGCGAAGGCGCAATTTTGGGCAAGTCAGCGCGGATGCCTGGCAGTCGTATGCTTAGTTGTAGGCTGAAATATGGCCCATGGGCGTTTAAGCAGCCCTCGCACTACGCGACACCAGTTTATAGGGAGTCTTGCGCAGGCCGGTTCCAGGATTGGGCTTAGCCCTATAGGTTACAGCGTTGGGTTTACACAGTGGAGGTTCGAGGATTGAGACCAGTGGGCGTCGACGCAGGGAGCAGCGGAGCAGCATGGAGGGGGGTGAGGGGTTGTTAGTTTTGCTAAACTGGTGGGCCGACGGGGCCGACCCAAGGGACTGGCAAGGCGCGAACAGCCTTCCCCATAATTTTTTGAATATATATTTTTATTTTTCTTTTTTTCTTTTTTTTCCTTTTTGGGACTCGGTACCGTGACTGGGGCGTACACACAGGAGCCTAGCTTAGTAGGTACGACCGTGGACTGTTGAAGCACAAACCTGTTTTTGAGTCCAGGAGGGAGGGGGACGTCACGAGTAAGACCAGGTATTTTGTATTGCCTGGGACCACTCAGGCCGCGATAGTGCCTTAGGGCACCACCGCGGCTGAAGTCCTTCGGGACATCCGCAAGACTTGAAACGATACAGAGGAGACTAGTAGGGTCTGGTTGAAGGATTCTGGGTCAGGGAAAACCCAGAGGAGAGTGTGACGGAGGCGGGGGCGATAGCAGCCAGGCGGGCCGGTCGTCAGCATCCCGGTATGGGGGCGATAGACTATTCGAAACGTGCAGAGAACATGAAGAGAACTCGTTCGTGCTGCTTATGCAGAAGAGCGAGGAGAGGGGTTATGTGGTATAGTCGGACCACCGTACTTACCTGGTAGAACTTTCGTGAAGGGGGCAGCGTGAATGTGGCGGCGCTAAGGGCAGGAAGGGCGCAGAGTCGAAGGGCAAAGAGGCATCCGCCTAACAGCTAGAGCGGGCCAGGGCACATCGATGTGGGGGCCATCCTGTTCGATATGTGTGTTTGTCCGAAGGTGATAACGAAAGGTTGTCGGAATAGCCTCCCGGCTCAATGAGAGGGTAGGAGCCAATAGCCGGCGGGGTTCAATTGTGATGTGGGTAGGTCGAGTACTGCATGCTTGGTGAGCAAAGCAGCATGTGCTGTTTGATAAGTTCCTTCTGTTATGCCGGATGCTCACTATCATGGACTCTTGTCTGTTGTACTACCACGCAGTTGCTGCTGCGTTTCCTGCTAACTGAGCTCGAACTTGGCCGGTTACGAGCGGCAGCTTGCAACTCATTGTGGGTCAGACATAGCAAGGACTGACAGATCAAGAGTTTATGGTAAGGTGGCT